TTGTAGTTAATTAATATTAATAGTTAAATAACTATCATATTGTAGTTAATAATAACTTCTTCTATCATAAGAAATTATAAGCAACTATCGGACTGACAAATTGTTTTTGTTGGAGCAATTCCTCACGGCAACTCAAATTATACTTCATCCCCCTCTCGAGTTATTACTGTCAAAGTTTGCAAAATATCAGTTTTCGGTCTTCTTTTTCTCCAGTCTTATAACTATCTCTGAGATTTCCTATAAATTTACGTAAATTTAATTCATTAAGTATAAGAAAATTATTTTATCAGAGCATTAATTTGTTTTTACTTAAAGTTAAGACTCTAGAAATAAATTGTTAAAGAATTTCATAGTTATGCACAATCCATGATTTGCAAAATTGTGCTTAATATAATTTACTATAATATATTAGCAAAAAAAAATTGAATAGTGCAGATTTTTTTTGTGGGTAACTAACACATACTTTGAACATAGTTGAGTTATCAAGGGTTAAGAGCTTTTTCTTTTTTAAAAATATTTAAAAGTATATTCAGAAAAATGCTTTATTTTTTTTATTCATTATGTCAATGACGAGAAGAATATTTTTTATGAAGCAATATAAAAATATTAAGTTTTCGCAGTTTTTAGTAATAATAGAAAATTGAATGAAATAAAAAGTATTATCGGTCGCTCGCGTCTAGAAGGAAGAAATAATTAAATTTTTTAAAATTTATTTTTAATAATAAATATTTTTAAAATAATTTATCACACTAAATATTAAAAAGTATTGGAAATTTAAAATTAAAATAAATTATGTGAAAAGATTCATTTTATTTTGTAATGTGTTTGTTTATAAGGTGAATTGAAAATATGAATTAAAATTCATTAAAATAATTTTATTTTGTAATAAGTTTGTTTAAAGGAGCATATGCGCAGAGGCAGAAAAATTTCAAAATCTTACATTATATGTGTTTTTTTTTATTAATTTCATATTACTGTGTAAGACTTATTTTTATAATGTATATATATAGTACATAAAAGAAGAGTAAATATGTACTTATTATTTATATTATAATATTAGTGAAATATTAATTTATGCATTTGTATAGTAGAGCACAAGTATCGAGAATAATAAGCTACATACATATTTATTTCCTTTGTTACTATTTTTGGTACATATATATTTCAATATGCAAAATGTATATATATATATATATATATATATATAATCATAGCTTTCATAGATGAGTTCACTTTTCTTTTATTTTCAAGTTCAATATTAAGGTGAAAGCGAGTGTTGTCATATGTTTTAAAATTTTGAGAAAATGGAAATAATATACATTTAATAAAGCGGTAGTTTACTAAAAGTTTTCCCTTAAATTTATTATCTATTTGTATTGAAATATAATTACACAATGTTTACGTATATTTATATTCAAAATGAAATCTTGTATTCATTTAAGTACTTGCACAGTAAAAAAACAGTAAATTATGTTTGACTGTAGGTACAATTTATAAAATTAAGGCAAACAACTGATTCTTCAAATTTAAGAAAGTAGTTTTTGAAAAAAATAAGTATGAGTATGTAATACAATATGTACTTATGCAATATATACTTATAGTATGTGAAAACGTAATTTAATAAAAATAATTGATATCAAAATTTTGTTATATTGTTTATTTATTAGTTGTTCTAAGCCACAAATAAAATATAAAACAAAGCGTTTGATATTAAATTTGTTGTTTCCAGATCTAGGAATTTACGCAACATTAAAAAAAGGTATAAAAACGGTGTTGATATAAAACTAGTGCCAAATTATTCTAACAGTCCATTTTAATAAAATATGAGTGTACGTCGAAGATTATTTTTCATATTTATTTTAAAGTTGAATTTTAGTATTAAGTTATTTTGAAATGTAATAATTATGTATATATACTCTATACGAGCAAGTTGCTCTTATGAGAAATAAATGAATTGAATTGAAAATTATCTTACATTTTTTACAAAATCAACTCATTTTATTCCAAATAAATTGAATTAATATTATATTCACATTAAATTTTCAAATTAGTTATGTATGTTTTTCTATTTTTGTAAATATGGCAACATTTTTGAATTTTATAAGCTTTATTTTTATCACGTATTATTATACTTTGCTGAAAGTCCAAAACAAAATAAGAGAATTTTTTTTCTCTTTTTATTACTCAATTATTTACGTATGATATTTTATTCTTTTTGTTCAAGGACTTATGGATTTGTCGTCACTTCTGTTGCGTTCCCCTAAATATTAGACACAGCTGTATTGAGTTTTTGCTTTGGTTCAACTTTTTTATTTAGAAAATGACAATTTTCAAAAAGGCATACAGAATTTATTTTCCAATCGTAATGTGAAGAACTATGAAAATCGGTATTCAGAATTTATTTAATGAAGTAAAGAGAATAATCCATGAATGATAACTAAAAGATGAGTTTAGATTGAGAATTGCTGCAAAAGTATAGAAAAGGAGAAAGGAAATTTCTGGGATCTTGTAAAAATTTTGGAAAAAACAAACAACTTTAAAAACAACTATTACTGTTGTATAGGACATATTCTGAATGGTATAAGCCTGCTAGGTTTAGCAAAACAAATCTCTATAGATAGATAAAAATTTTAACTGCTTGTCTTAGTTTTTAATAATATACATTTCAAATGATTTTAAAAATGACTATTCCGACCAATATATTAAAAGTATAATTATTATGAATTTTGATTATATACTGATATTTTAACATCATATTTTTTTATAAGATCAAAACTTTTTAGGAACAGAAAAAACAAAACTCCCTATTTGTTTTCCATAAAAACAGAATTTCAATAAAAATATGTGCCTAATATTTTAATCTCACCTAACATAAAAATTAACGTATGTCTGCATGTATGCACGGTGGTTGAAAAAGGAAAGATTTTAAATAATATAACAAAAATACTACATTTTGATAATAATCTTCACAAAGAAGATAATTTTTGTTTGAACATATGGCTCTTAAATTTAAATCAGCTCTTCTTGACAAGGTCAAAACAACACTGTATCGAGTTCTGTCATAAAGCATGTTATCAAACAATAACAAACTGTCTCATAATATTTACTTTCAATCAATAATATTGTTCTTAATACTGAAGTTGTCATACCGAAAGAATTTAATTTTTGTCAACTTTTTTAGATTCCTTCTTAAAATGCGTATTAATATTTTTAAAAAATTTTGCGTTTTATTGTAAACAAAAATGTTTTTGAATTTTCATATCAAAATATTACTGGTATTTTGCTTGTATTTTACTATTTTCAATAAAATATTTGCTCTGACATTTTAACATATTCGAAATTATTACGTGTTTCATTCAAATTGCAAGACAAACATTATGTTTACTGAAACAGAATTTTTTAAAAGTGAAGGTATGAACAAAACGGTTTAGGAGCGTTTTCACATACGATTTTTAGAAATTTTTTGTACAATATTAGCGAAAATTTTTTTAGACAATGTAATGGTTATTTTACTCATTATTATTACTTATATTATTTTTCGTAATTAACAACACATGATTTGACATTAAAATTACATATGATCGAACAATATACAAAATATTGATATTTGATTAGATGCTGCCGAGATTATTTTTAACAACATATATGGTAGATGTAATGATAAAACAAATAAATGCAGTAACATCTGTCAAAAAATTTTACAAATTAACAATAAAGTAATTATTATTTGATTATGTTTGACAAAGAGTAATCGCAACTGATAAAAATTATAATTATGCTGTTACAAAAAAGATACCCCAAATGAACATGTGTATGTATTTTGAAGATAAATACAAGTGACGAACAATCAAATTTTATCCGCTAAATTAATTGATAATTAACTCCCAATATGGTTTTCAGTAACAGTTTAAAATCTTTTAGCACTGTTGTTACCTATATTCAGCCTTATTTGACGTTGCAACCTATATTCAATTAGTTAAAAAAAGTATGTATGGATTGTATTTTTTGATTTTGAAAAGGCTTTTGATTTTATTGGTCGAAGCTATTCAGAATACTATTTAAAAAAGAAATTACAGAAAAAGCACATGTAATTGTTTTGAAAGTTACCATAAGTATTATAGAACAATCTTCTGAGTACTCTAGAGCTTAACAACAAAAAACAAAACAAAAAACAGCAATTTTTATGCAAAAGGTTTTGTAACCAATTTTATGTTTAGAAGCTATTACTCGAAAACTCTGACATCAACCACACTGTTATATAAGTCTCTTACATGATAAAAAAATCCGTCAATAACATATTGCTCTAGCGTCACCAGCTTTCAAAATTTTTGAATATTTGTTAGACAGAATTTTTTTAATCCCAAATTTTTGACTTTAAAAACACCTGGAATCTTTTCCCCAGAGAATATTAGTTCTAGCCCACCCCGTATATTATGATTCGGGAGCTGCACGTAACAACACTACTAAGTTAAAATATATTGAATACTGTTTCTTATTCGATTGTTGTCTGCTAGTATAAATTAAATGGCCATAATGTATTTTTTAAAATACCCCAGAAGGTTTGAAAACAATTTCTTTTTAATTTAAATAAGTCGGGTGTTTTGCATATGAGTGGCATCAAAAGCGAAACTAAATACGCAATATGAAAAATATAAATTGGGTTTAAATGAATTAATTTGTGATAATTCAAGATGATTCAATAGTTTATGAAATATTTTGTATTAAAATTAAAGATTTAAAAGATTAAAAATATAAAAATTTTATTTTTAATAAGACATAAAATGCTCTTTATCATTTTGTTCAAGAATGTACGAATGTATTTAATGAACAAAAAATGTTCATTAAATATACAAATACAAATGAACGATTATAGAAATTATGAGATTGTTGAACTTTAAGAAATGCTTATAACGAATCATATATTTTATCACATACTTTGCAAAAAATTAAAAATTATTAATAACTTAATTATTTGTTTTTTCTTTTCAACTTTTTTTCAGACATTGAGCTTCGTTGTCAGATATGTCAGCAGATTCTCCACGACGTGCCGCTCGAGGAGTACCAGCCATTGTACCGCCTCAAGTTGTAAGTGATCGCTCGATAATTGATAATGTAGCTGGTTTCATAAATGATGTTGCATTAACAAATCAACCACAAGGAGACCCCAAAGATACTATTGCATGGGCTAGATTTGAACAGTCTGCTGATATTAGTGATCCAACGTTTGGTGATGATTGGGAAATCGATGGCAACATATCTCCACCTTTATTATTAATACTAGGATATGGTTTAGGAGTTCAAGTGTGGGCCATACCTGCGAATGGTGAAGCTATTGAAGTTTTGTCATGGCGCCATGGCCATGTTTCGACATTACGCATATTACCGACTCCATTTACATCAGACGATGAAATGGCAAATGAACCAATAGATAACTATGTCGACAAGAGACCATTAATGGCAATTTGTGATGGATCAGCTTCTATTTCTGGTTCAGTTCAAACGTGCTATTCCGTAAATTTTGTTTCACTAAAAACTGGAGCACAAGTAAAAACCATTAAATTTAAATATGCCGTGCTTGATGTGTTGGCAAATCGAACATCTGTTGTAATTACGTTTCCTGAACGTATTGCCGTTTTCGATGCAAGAACTTTAGAAGATAGACTGTCAGTTACCACATGTTATCCCAGTCCTGGGTATGTTATGATTGTGGGCCGCTATGGTTTGCATTCTGAATAAATGTTAATATAATTGTAGAATCAATCCCAATCCTGTTGCCCTTGGACCTAGATGGATGGCATATGCGGAAAACAAAGTACTTCATTCAAAACGAAGTGGAGGGGGCTGTGATGGAGATGGAGTTTCAAGTTACACAGCGACTGTTTTGAATGCAGCAAAAAGTTTTGGAAAAGGTTTAAGAGAATTAGGAGAACAAGTGGCGGCAGGGTTAACCGGATCTACTCCAACAGGTTTGTCATCGAAATCTGGAAGTTTTGATTCTGGAAGTGGTGACGTTAAGCAGGCTGGAATAATAACAATTTTAGATATAAAGGTAAAATATGTTACATTTTTATTTATTTAATCTATGCAAAATTTTTATATTAAAATATTTAGAATCCTATTAAAGACGTTAGTCCAACAACCGGAGCTCCTATCTCAATAAACGGGTCTGACCCATTCATTGCACATTTTATTGCTCACTCTGAAGCAGTTGTTGCTATGGAGTTTGACTACTCAGGAATGCTTCTAATAACAGCTGATCGCCGAGGGCATGATTTTCATGTATTTCGAATTCAACCCCATCCAGCTGGTTCTCACTTAGCCGCAGTCCATCATCTTTATATCTTGCATAGAGGTGATACAACTGCAAAAGTTCAAAACATCACTTTTGCATTAGATTCAAGATGGGTGGCTATATCAACCTTACGTGGAACAACACATGTTTTTCCAATAACACCGTACGGTGGCCCTTACGGTGTTCGCACACATTCTAGTTTACATGTTGTTAACAAATTATCTCGATTTCATCGTTCAGCTGGTTTGTCAGGCGATAATCGTTCAAATAGTCCGATATCACATTCGGAAAGTATGACTTTTAATCAATTGAGTATGCCATATCATAATCCGACAATGCCGCCATTCCCCCGGCCTCATACAATACTTCCATTAGCCCAGTTACGTCAGCCATCAGTCTTAGCATCGCCACCGGGAAGCGCACAAAACTTATCATATCAAAAGTCTATAGTTGGTGGGACGACCTCAAACCGACAAAGATTGTCATCACTATCTGATGACAGTGGGAAACCTTTAAGCGTTTGTGCCGTATTTTCAAAAGGAAGATCATGGCTATTAGACCCGCCAAATGTTGCACGTGAAGCTCCTGCTCATAAATTACAACGTAAAGCAGTTGATTCCTTGTTTATAATGGCAGGGCATGGTGCATTAATCCAATATGATTTGGATACAAAACTCGCCTCAAGTATAATAATAATAATTTTTGATCTTTCAAACCCATTTAATGTCGAGAATATTTTTAGATGTTGCCAAAGAAAAAATATGTGATGATACACCAATCGAATTAGAAGTAGAAGCAAAAGCTCAGTGGAATTTAGGACGCAGAGAAAGCTTTTTGGAAATTCAGCCACCTTTAACATCAGATAATTGGTTGGTTAAAGATCGTAATTCTTTTATTGGTGTAGATGCCCAATATGAGGATTGTGATGATCGTAGCGAAAGATGGCTTTCCCAAGTTGAAATAATAACGCACGCCGGGCCACATAGGAGGCTGTGGATGGGTCCCCAATTTGTTTTTAAAACATATAATACGCCTAGCGGGTATGAGTTTAAATTAATTTGTCGAGCTCTTTAGTGTTTATGTATTTTAAAATTTTGTCATAGATCAAGCTTAAGTCATATTGATAGTGAAGCTATAGAAATAGGGATTACACCTAATACCAATAAACCAGGACGCTCAAGTCCAATGAATATGCCGTTAGGCAATTCAGGTCGTTCAGCTGTTCCAGTCTTGATAGAATCTGGATCTTATAGTAGGGCATTTTTCTATTACCTCATTAATAAAATATTCAGTTAATAAAATATGCTTTTTATTTTAGGTAGCATAGAACAAAGTCCAAAACTGATGGACCGTTTTAAACATGATCATATGGATTCAGACTTTACACTTACTCAGGGTGAATCTCGACTGAAGGAAGATTTAGCAGATGCAATGAGGGAATCGCCATCAGTTCATAAAGATACTGGTAAGTATTTATTATATAAAATTGTATTATAATATTGCCAATGGGTGTTTTTTTTTCGGTTTTAGCAGTTTTTTATTTTGCCTTTTTTCACATTATTTCTGTCATTATTTTCATAAACTATAAAACCATTTCTGTAATTTTTACATATATAATTTATTTGAGCACAGTTAAATTATCTGTCCTATGCGCAATTTTTTTCATTTTACTTTTTTCATAGAGTTGGAGCTAAAATATTCTTTAAAAAAATTGAATTAAAAATTGCCATTGTTTATTAAATTTAATACACATACGTGGTTGCAAAAATATTTTTCAAGTTTTACTATGTGCGATAATGGTAAAAGTTAAATAAGTTAAATTTATGATGTTATAATGGTGAAATCTCTTTATCTATAGTTACCTTATTAGTTTTCCTTAAACCAACTTGTTTTTTTTAAGTTTTAACAATTCATTTAAGCCATATTAATATTTAAAAAAAAACTTGTGTTTTGTTAGGTATTAGAATTAGAAATTTGGGTTTTCCGATGTTGCATGATAATGTCTCAACAAAACACTCACAAAAAATTTGGTTTTATTGAAATGTTTTTTATGTCTACAAAAAAGAAAATAAATAAACTGCTTACAAATAAGTTAGTTAATAAAACAACATTTAAATTTTTTATGCAAATGAATGCCATATGAAAATTATTCATTAAATATATTTTTAAGACAAAAATCTTTGGATGTAATTTTAATAAATTTAAAATCACGCAAATCATTGTTATTAATTAGTATATTCACTGTAGAGCTTGTAATAATAAGATTTACAAAATAAAGAATATATTAATAAGTATACAAGTTTAGACTATAAAATTTCAATTTTTACAAGCTATTAAAAAATACAATTTTTACAAGCTATTAGTTTCAAAGAGTTATAAAATTGTGTGTTTTTTATTAATTTCCTTTTCATTTAGCTATTAAATTGCTTTTCATTCAGCTACTGTAATAATAGTAATTCCCAGCAGAAAATCACTTCGATATGGAAAATTCGACATAAGTTTCTAAAAATTTAAATACCATTTCCTCACTTTAAGTCATTTAAACCTCGCTAAAGTAATCTTTTTTTTTGTTATATAACTATTTTTTTTTTTAATTGTAGAATTAAATTTTTTTATATAAAAATTAGGAATGAACTTCGCGTTGAGTTATTTCGGTTCAAGTCGTAATCGAATGGAATTACTATATTTTACTATCTTTATTTAAATAAAACATAAAAGTACGATTTCTGCAAGTTCCTGCTGTGTCTTATTATTGCGGCAACTGTGTCTTATAAACTAGCAAATTTTCAGTGTAAAATTTATGCAGTTACATAATAAATTTTCATATTATTCTGTAAAATAATAATTAATTTCATGAAATATATGTAAATTCAATTAATATACAAACATTTAATATTTATTCATCTCTGTTATTTTCAATAAATTGAAAATAAACAGAAAATAACAATTAAAAAAATCAAATTAATTTGAAAAAAATTATATCTTGACATGATAGACATGCGAATGTCTGATAATCTTGTTGATTTTGTACAATACAGTTTAATAGACTATTAAGTTTAATAAAAACCATTCATTTAAGCTTCCTTCATTTTTGTTAATAAACACTTGGAAACTACAACTCGGAATTATTCAAGACTGATTTTATTATTGACAGTTTCTTTGTCTGTTTGACAATGTTTTGTATTAACTCATTTTAGCTAAAGGAAATCAAAAACATTGCCTTTTTTTAATAACGTTATGATAAAAATGCTAGTCATTTATGTATATTATTTTTAATTAATTTACCCTTTTTTTAATTATTGATTAAATTATAATTTTCTTTTAAGTTAACAGAGAAAATTTTTATGAAAAATTTTTTTGAGTTTAAATTTTTGTTTCTCAATTTTTTAATTGAGACGACTGTTTGTCTTTCACTTTTGTTAATTCGAAGCGTAGAAGTAGATGCGTGTAGTTCAGAAATGCATTTACATTGTACGCAAAGTGAAAAAAATAAAAGCCCTTTAATAAAACGTTTCAGGGGATCAAAACTAATATACTATTTTTTTTTTAATTAACGAAACTAAAGCTGTCAAAATTTTTGAGCCGTTAGGAGAATAATCGAAAAGACAAGTCAAAGGCAGAACAAAAAACTTTTTTGAATTTTAATATTTAATAATTATTTTGAAGGTTTTGATTTAGAAGAAACCAATTTATTTGTATATTAAAATAAGTTAATTTAATAATATTAACTAATTATATAATATGTACTTTAAATATTTTTTTTTCTTTATGCAAATTCATAGTTATTTTAATATAAATATATATATATTTATATATATATATATATATATATATATATATATATATATATATGTATATATATATATAAATAAATTTATATGTATTTGGTTATATTTTTGTTTAAACAACTAAAGTATACATTGTAAAAACATAAATGTTAATCCATTTTTCAAAAACTTTATTTCACTTCACTTACACTTAGAATTGTCAGTTTAAAACAGAGTATTGGAAAATTATTTATAAACTTCTGAATTTTTCAAAAATATTCTACGTGTACATACATATATACATACATAGTGGGCAAATTTTCTAAATAGCATGGTTTTTTGTTGCAATGTATACCTTAATTGTTTCACTTGTGTTTTCTGATCAAAAATATTGCCTTTCATTAAAAAGATTTTTATTTTGTTCCTGAAGATTAATTGAAAACTTTGTAAATTTTTAGTTCAGTTGTAGTTTCTGAATTCATTTTAAAATTTCCTGGTATTCACCTGGATTACACTCAACTTAAATTTTATTTATATAGTACGTAAATTTTATAACACAAAAAAAATTTTAATTTTCAAACTTTATTGCTTTCTAACTAATTTATGGCATGCAAAAGAACTTTAAGTGAATTTCAGAAATTTTTATTTAATAATTTAATGATTTTTGTTTTAATTTTGCGTTGGATAAAAAAAAATTAGCTTGTAAATATATAATGAAATTTTCTTTTTACTCACTACTATCTTATTACATACATATTATATAAGTACTTGAAAGAGCGTTTTAATGGAACAAAAAAATGTTAAACACGATTTTAAGATTTTTTTTTCTGAATATTTCCATATTTGTTTTTTTTTTTTTTGACTATTACAACAGATTATTAACAAAACTGCCTTTGGCTTTCTTTTCTCTCTTTCTCTATTGAAGGTTATACACCTATGTCAACTACCGCTAGTAATATCACTAATGTTTCCACGAGCCGAAAATTACGGGAAAATACTGCCAGTGTGCAACCCTCCTACACTAATGCTTCTACGTCTTTTAGTACTACATCTTTTGGTGGCAATATTACCACACAAATAAGAAAAATTTCCAAAAATACAAATTTATCATCTTCAATGACTTCATCTTTGACTATACCAGAAGAAGATGATATTGAAACTTCATCTGAATCTGCATGTATTTCAATTGAAAAAATTGTTAATCCACTAGGAACCGTTACAACTATAACCAGATCTCCAAGTGATACTGATATTGAAAAAACTACATATGATCCAGCTGATCATGTAATTTTAGAAAATTGTGATGAATCATTATTTCGGCCAGTTGTTACAATATTCTGTGATGAAAAGAATACAACTCCTAGAAGTGGAGAAAATAGTAATAGTAGTAAAAGTAAAAATGTTAAAAATTTTGATAAAAACTGTAGTAGTAATAAAATGGAAGGAAGTGATTATTTTAAGAAACCACCTGAACCAATCGGTACTAAATTGGTGGTACCAGTCATTGAAAAATCAATAAAAATTGAGTCAGCTACTGATAATGAATTTAACAATACAAATAGAAACCTAATAAAAAATAATAAAGACAGTAGCGTAAGTACTGTAGAAAAAGGTAATATTAAGCAAAAAGTAGATAAAACTGAAGAAAATATGAATAAAGTATACAAGCCGGTTAACAGTAAAGACAATAAAATTGAGGACACAATTGTGGGGGCTGTAGGAAAAATTAAAAGTGAAAAACCGATGAATCAAAAGAGTTGTAAAGTTAGTGATATTAAAGTTGAAAAAAATGAAACAGACAATTCTCAAAGACATGAAAAAGCTCAATCTTCGCATGCAATTAGTGAATTAAATTTGAAAAAATTACATAATCAGAAGAATTCTAAAAAGGAAAGTGATGATTCTGATGAAAATAGTAGTAAAACTATTGTTACTGTAGAAGGAAATCGAAAGGGTAATAGTGAATCTTACAAAGAAACAAATTCAAAACAAAATTATGATATTCAGGAAAAAAATGTGGATATTAACAAAAGGACAGTAGAGGTTGAAATAAAAATAAAGAACAAAGAAAAGCTTAATGATGAAATGTTTGTGGAAACCAACGATTCAACAAAAAATAATATGTCCGCAAAAACTGCCGATGAGGCAAAAAATTTAGTTTGTAGAAAATCTAGTAAAGATGAAGATTCTGAAAGTTATGAAAGTTTGGAAAATATAGACGAATACGAAAAATCTTTAGAATCAAAACAAAGAAAATTAAGCGATAACTTTGACTCGGCTGAAGATTGTCATCATGAAAGTGACTTGTCTTCGGGAAATACAAGCAAAAAATGGGAAATAAACGAGGAATCAAAAGCTGACAAGCAAACAAAAGCAAAAAAACAAGAAACAATAAATCAAATAATGAATTCGAGTAGTTCAAACTCGATTGAAGTTACAATCACATTGCCAAAGAAAGGTAAAAATATTAAAAAAAACGATCAAACTAAATTAAAAATAAAGAAGGAGTTTAACGATGAACTACAGAAAAATGAAATCGCTAAAAGTTCTGGTTTAGAGTTTTTCGATAAATTTTCACATACTGACGACAAACATTTAAAGGAAAAAACTAAAACTGTTAAAGACAATCTAAAATTTTCGCCCCCAGATTTGGATGTTATTTTAAGACCATTAAGTCCAGAATCTGAAAGTTTAATGGAAGACGAACTAAAAAAAGAGAAAAGTTTGGAAAAGACAAATCAAAATACTTGTACAGAATCAAATTACTCTAATAAAATTAATACCGATAATTTAAATGTTGATCTATCTGTAACAACTAGCAAAAAAAAGTTGAAGAAAATGAAATTACCATTAAGTATTAAATTAAAAGAAGATAAAAAAGAGTCCTCATCAACAAAAAATGAAAAAAATGCAAACGATATACTACCTGCTATATATACAACCACTTCAAATTTTCTTGAAAATGATCTTGATTTTCCTGCACTTCCAGCATTTGATAACTTTAGTAATGATTTTAAAGAAACTTTCTTACCTCCTTTATCACCACTTGGAATATTTGAAACAAAATTTGATGAGTTCCAAAATAATGATTCTAAAAAATCTGATGACCATTTCAGTTTGATTAATTTTGAAAGTCCAGAAAGTCCGAAAAATACCCCCAAAAAATTAAGTGCAATAACATCAATCGAACCAAAACCAAGAGGATTTACTCAGGATACTCTAATTTTTGCTCTCTGTGGTAGTCTTCATTATGAAGATGAAAATGAAGTCGAAAATATGAATATTTCTACTGATTCATCTGAAATTATATCAAAAAAAGATTCTGATTCCTCTAATCTTTTGACTTCGAAAACAAAAGAAGAATTGGTCGCCAAATTAACACTTGAAGAAGAGTTATTGGAAAAAAATAGTAATACCCCCACTTTAACGAAACGTAAAAATAAGAAAAAAGAAAAAAATTTATCTAAAGCAAGTTTGCAGGTTTCTACAGTAGCTGCAACTTCATCTTCAACCTCATCTTCGGAAGAAACAGAGGAATCTTCTTCATCAGCTGCTTGTAATAAACGTCAGAAAAATATTATTGGTGATGAGGAGGAGCTTCGACCACTTATAGATGTATCAATGAGTCAATCAATTAGCTGCGGCACCGGTAGCAGTTTAAGCGAAATTTCTTCGGGTGGAGGTAAACCATCAACAACAAAAAATGTGTCGAAAAAAACAAAAACTATGAGTCAAATTTTAAAAGGTGAAATTGATGACGAAGAAGATGATTGCGATACTGATGCAGATAAAAGAAATAAATCCACTAAATGCGCGAATGTTGATGTTTCTGAAACTATAATCCCCTCGATTGTAAACAAGGAATTCGATTGTGATGACAACTCTGTGTCAACTACTATAACACTGTCAATACCAAATCCAAAAAGAGGAGCAACAGCAACGAAAAAATCTAAAACTTCACTGCCTGATGTTAACAGCCAAAGCGATTCATCAACAACAAGCGATCAAGTAAAAACTTCTGAGGAACAAGTATGTAGTGATTCATCGGATGAACAACAGTTGATTTCATTGAAAAAAATTAATTCAAGAAATAATAAAAATTCATCTTCCACCACCATCATTACTTCTGATATTCCCATTAATGAAGATTCAAGTGAATCGGATACCAAAATTAGTAACGTTGAAGCGGTTAGTACCGGAAATGATAGTGGTAGTGGTGGTGGTGGTAATGGTAGCAATAATATTAATAATTCAATTATAAACAAAAGTAATAACAATAATAGTAATAGTAGTAATAATACAAATCAAAACAATAAAAAAAAATTAAAAAAGAAAAAAAGATAAAAATTATTAATTTGTTTGATTTGTACTTTTTGTCTAACAACAATATGCTATTTTTATTATTTTTAATTATGAAAAATTAAAAAACAATATATTAAACTTGGCAAAAGTTAAAAAAAATTTATATAAAAATAAAAATTGGGGTAATCACAATTGATAAAAAGTTAAAGTGAATTCAAATAATTCTTTTCATGTTTAATTCACCTTGAATTATCGATAATAAGCATTTCAAAAGTTTTTCATGACGCTTCCAAATTCTAGTTCCCCTTTAAATAAGTTTTTTTTAGCAATTTGATAATATATAAATAAATTTAAGAACTAAGGTTCTTTTTTCATAATCTTTTATAAAGTAACTTATATCGAAAGTTCAAGTGAAAGTTCACTGATTGTCTTTTGTGAATACTCCAAAAAAAAAAAAAAAAAAAAAAAAAAAAAGAAAAAAAAAGAAAAAAAAGAGGAAAACTAAAAACTGAAAAAAAAATTTAAAATTTATTTAGCTTAAATTTTTTCTCAAAATATTTAAAGAAACTTTAATGCCCTTTAGGTAAATACAAAACTATTCTAATTTTTGAAGAATATTAATTTTTGTTAATGTTACGCGATGTTCTATTCGATATGTGGGGTGTGTTAGGAATTTGTCTGACAGCCTTCGTAGATCAAAATGGGTAGAATTTCCGACAACTGTTTTTAATATAGTTAGTTCTTATAGCAGTCTATGGCTTCTCTTAATACTTCTTGTTAGACAGTTATTGAAGTTTAGAAAGAAGACTTGGAAATTTTATTTTAAAATATTAGACAGTTTGTGTTTTAGTTTAGCAAAGATCCGTTTTTAGCTTTTATAAAATTTTTATTATTTTATTATTTTATTATTTTGACTAAGATTGTCAACATTATTTTTTTCTATTTCATTTTAATTCAATTGAAAAAATTTTACGCTAAAAAAAATTCAATTATATTTCTTAAGGGCACGAATTCTTTAAATACTTATGATTTTTTTTAAGAAGTCCCACATGTATGCGTGCATTATTGAATAATTTGCAAATCAAAAATAAAAGATATTTTAAATTGAATTAGAAATAAATTTTTATAATAATGCGATACTGTAGGTTAACTTTTTCGTCTTAGTCAATTACCAACTTTAGTGTACTTTGTTTTAATGATTTTTTTTTGGCCTTATTAATTTTTTATAGAAAGACGATAAGTAAACTTAAAGTAAAAACTAAAGATCTGCACGGTTTTAGTTTGTATTTTACAAAAACAAAAAATTATTATTTGCTTGTAAAACTTACAATTATTGCAGGGTAATAGGCGTGAAGGAATTAAAAAATATTCCAATTAATTATTTATTATCATGATTTGCAAATTGATCAGTAAGCAATAATGAAATTGATGGGTTGTTTATATATCAAAACTAAGTATACTAGAATTGTAAAATTACATTGGGTGATTTTCGAAAATTCAGATATGCACTGAAAGTTCTAAATTTAATCTTGAAAGTCTTTCTACACATGTGTACTTACAAACTGCAGAAACTGATTATTTTACTTTTGTAGATTTGTAACATATTTTAGTGATTCTTCTGACATACTTCAGCAAAACTATCATTTTCCAATATGCTATTTTTGTAGTTTTCCAGTTTTAGTTTATCTACCGAAGTTTCAACTGAATTATCGAATATCCCTTTGTTAAACATAATTTCACCTAAATGCGATTAGTTTCATTAAATAAGCTTATATAAATTAATTGAACCCACATGATTTATATAAATTTATAAAATTTATAAGATACAAAAACAAAATGGATAACATTGAAAATCCGTATAATTTTGTTTATTTCGTATAATTTTGTGAAAGTTATTTTTTGCTTCTTTTTTTTTACAAAAACTGCAAATCAAACAAATTCTTTAAAATAAGAAATAAATTTTTTAATAAGTAAATATGTAATACATAATGTTATGTAGTAGCAAATTACTAAATATAGATTGTTAATTGGTATCGTTAAAATTAAGTTAAAATTTAATTAAAAAAATGATCCTAAATACACAAGCAAGGAATTTAATTAAAAAAAAATTCCTATACCGACTTTTCGATACAAAACACAAGATTATATATGCTTTTTTTCGGTTTGTTTATTTCTAATTTCATAATTATTGTATGAGGAAATTGTACTACTAATTTCATAATTAATTACGAAGAGTTTTTTAATTTATATTTATTATACAAAAAACATAAAGTTGATACAATTACATATTTGAAATATCTGAGGTTGACACGTGTCAATTATTGGCGTCAAAACGACCGGAATATTGAAACATGTGAAAACCTCAAGCACGCTTTGGTTTTTGAGGTTATTTTTTTTCCAATGAAAATTTTTCTTTTGAATTATTTAATTTTATTTTAAATAAACAATTTTTGCCACCACATTGCACACAAATCAACAATACAACAAAACTGCCTTCTTTAAAATTTGAAAGAAGTATTTAAAGAACATTTTCACAAATTTCTGTAACACTCTCGCCAAATACAAAAACATATTTAGCAGTTGGATATGTTCTAATCACATCTGAATTTTTTGAATTGTACTTAATTTTTCAAAATTTTATAAATTTTAATAATATTATCCTCATTAGCATATTCAATATGTATTTTCATTATAAATATTTTTTTTTTCAATTGTGAAGGTCCTGAATGAGAACTAAATTACGTCTTCTTCTTGTATTAAAAAAATACAATATATAATGATTTATATAACTTGTCATTATTCGTTTATTATTCTAAATGCATAATATTTAGAATATCTTATTATGAAGATTATGTAACGCGCATCGGTATTTTCTAAGACGCATTATATAACGTAATGACAAGGATATTATTCAAACAGATTTTGATTTTCCGAATAAAATCTGTATTAAAATTTGAATTAATAAATGAAAAAAAGAGTTGTTAGTTTTTAGAAAAGGTTTGTCGTACACCTCCAAATTATATACTACTTCTAGACAAAATAAAATTGCCGTGTTAAATCAAAATGCACATATACATTAAATGTCCAAAAGTAAAACATAACATCAGAAAGATTTTCATTAAATTTGTTCATTAAAGATTGTGGCATTGGCAAATGTGATAATAATTAGAAATACATCAAAAATTCATGATACAATAATAATTAGAACTTTTGGAATTTATTTGACTACTTAAGATTAAAGTTTTGTTTATAATTGCAAAATACTTTGTATTATATATAGTATGTATGTATATATATGTATATATAATTAAGTACTTCGTAATTTTACATTTAAGTTTTAAATTTGAGATTTAATTTTGAATTTATTTTATTTGGTTATAATTATTCAAATATCATATTATATTGCTAAAGGATCAAAAACTAAAAAAAAATTGCTTAGTTTTTAGTATATTTTTGATATATTTATAAAAAGTTCTACTAATGTTTAATGGTTTCACAATTTTTGTCTTTTTTTTTGTATTTTACTCAATTTTTGTACTCTTTTGCTTTAGAAAATGAAATTTTTCTTTAAAATCCAAGTAAATTTTGTTAAGAAAATCTCTTATTTCTGTAAAATACATGCGATGCAGAACTTGAGTTTAACAATTTTTAAATATAAATGTCATTTTTATTCTTAACTTAACTCTGAAAACCGAATCAAAAAGAATATTGCGAAAGAAACACAAAACTAATTAATATACGAAAGATTTGTGTCCTATTACAATACATTTTTTAAACTTTTACGATAAATAACAATATCATTTAGTGATTCGCTTCTCAGAATAAGTAAGCTACGTTATTTAAGTGTTCTTTTTCTTTTAACCAATTTGTTAAACATTTTTTATTCACGTCTTTAAAATAAATAGTTGTTAATGTTATAATTCATTCTTTACAAATCATTCGTTTATTATAAAAATATTTAATTGTTTATTTTAATTATAAAAATAAATTACCGTAATTATAAATTGCAAATATTATTAAAAATTCTCAAAATTACGATGAAAAAAAAAATTGGTTCGTTTTGTTTTGGTTTGTAAATAAAGTCAAAAAAGAAAAATAATTTTTTAAATAAAATTAAAAAAAAAGTTAAATAAAAGTATTAAACAAAATAAAATATTCATAAAAATAAATTATTTATAATTTTTAAAATTAGATAAAAAGAAGAACAAAATTCTTTATTTGTTGATACAAAATGATTTTTTCTTTTAGGTTACTTTTCAAAAATCTAGATCTTTCCGAAAATTGTGAAATATCTTTTATATATATAATTGTGCATTATTTAATTTTTATTAAAAAATAGAGATAAAAAAAAGAATAAATAGATTTTAGCATTAAACATTAATAATAAACAATAAAAAATAGCACATGCAAAATGTATATAACGTAAAAAAAATTTATAAAGGACAAAACAAAAAAAATATTGTTATCTTGTTAAATTGTTTGTGTTGATTTTATATAAATTTAAGATGTAAATCATTAATATTTACATTTTAAGTTTATTTGTATTATATAGAGTTGCTTTACAAGAACAAGGAATTTTCTCGAAAACAACATTTAAAATTAATTTTAGTTGAAATTAGTTATTTTTCAGCAGCTTTTTCAAGTTTATCACATACTTTAATACGTATACTTTAATGCGTAACGTAACGGGAAGTAACGAATCATATTGTAAAATAACGTATTTCGTAACCAAGAATTACGTATCGTGAGTTAACCTTAAGTTAAACAGATCATACTGTTCCAAATCAGTTGGCTGCATTTAAAGAAAAACATAATTCAATATATACATATATTATGTATGCACACAATATTTGTACATTTTCGTACGCATCGAACATTTTCCTAATAAAAATTGGTCATAAAATATTTTGTTATATTCTTAGCATATAAATAATTTTTAAAATGCTTATGGTGCACAATTTTATTTTTAAGTGAGGATGACGCAAGCTATTGTTACAAAAAATTTCATAACTTCTTTAAAAACGCAAAAAGTTCGTCCAGGCTGTTAAATAATTAAGCGTACAGTTAATGTACATATGTACATTACTTATGAAAACGTATGTAATATTTGGAAGAAATTATAACTACATTTTCTATTTTAATATAAAATAATTTGCAAAAATCGTGTAACATAGGAAATATAAAATAAAAAATGTATGTAAATGGAACAATATTGAAAACACAAAAATTTTAACAAGATAAAATTATTTTTAAAGAGATGTTTAAATTTCAAATTAATATTATCAAAATAACAGTAATTTTTAACGGTAAAATATTAAAAAAAAAATTAGTATTATTGTAAAATTATTATTAAAAAACAAAAAATTTTGTTGATTTTTTTTCATTTAAATTATTTAGAAAATTATACAAAAAAATAAAAATTAAAAAAAAGTAACAAAAATAAGAAAAAAACTTCAAATAAAAAAAAGATAAAACTTAAAATTTGAATATTTTCGTTTAAAGTCTGTGCCTGATTTTGGTACGTTATTCCTAAGAGAGATGTCATGTTAGCGGGTATTGCGTACAATTAATTTGTATCTTTGCGGAAAACAAAGGAGGGCATAAAAAACAACAAAAGTTGCAACCGTTCTAATACTCATAATATGTATTAGAAATAAAAACCATTAAGTAGTTTGAGACCGGGCCAATTATAAAAGTTCATAACTGAGTTTTGAATATTAATAAAAGTTTCATTGGATGATTGTATTTTAAAAGTTTATTTGCCTAAATTATTAGTCTTCTTAGAGTTTAACTGGATATTTTTTGACTTTAAGCTAAAATAGAAAATCTTAAAAAAGTTAAAAAGATTTTAGTGTAATTCAAAATTTATATAAGAGTTAAGGTATAAAATTCAAAAAAATTAAAGTTAACCAATGGTTAAAATTAAAGTTCATGATAAAATTAATTTTCAGTATGTATTTGAAAATTTGTCGTTTTCAAATTCGAATAAACTTTGAAGCAACAATACTTTTGAAATTAATTGTTCTATATCAATTAAATTTTCACAATAGCGCGATTTTTTTGAGTACACTTTTTAAAAAATTATTCCATCGATTTTCTCGAAAAGCTTTCATAATTGACATTATATTAGGAGTGTTTAACCATTTTCAATTAAATTGGCCATTTTGTTGTAATTTTTGAAATAAAATCATATTTTAGCTGTAAACACATAACAATATTTTTGTTAAATATTGCAGAATTGGTTTTATAAAAAAAACGAAATAATGTTGTATTTTTGTTTAAGTTCGTTGTCACGTAGTTATATTATTTTTGCATAGGCCCTTATTATGATCGGTGAAGCGAATGGAATTTTTGGCTTATATGACTTTTTGGTATTATAATTAGCGAATTCTAAATTTTAGGCGAATGAGCTTTGAAATCTGTCGAATGAAAATTCTGTGTGGCAAGCTTGACGAGTGAAACCAAAAATCAAAATAATACATAAGTGTTTTTTTACATGATATTATACGAGTAGCATTTATAGTGATATAATGGAAAAATCTAAACTATCTGTAGAGTAAGTTCATAAAATTCTACAAATTGTTGTAAAAAATATTGATTGTTTAATGTTAACTTAAGCGTAGAAACAATGAATCAATAGCAGTTTGAGCATTTAATTAAATTAATGGTGAACAACCCCGACATTGCATAAGTGATAGGAAAATTTAATTGTTTTTACAAAAAAGCAAGAAAGAATGTACATATGTGTGGTGTTAACCTTATTACTTTTGGTAGGTTTTTTGATGTTTTGCGGTAGCAATATCTTAGACCTGGCGAATGAAAGCATTCGTCGATCATAGTTTAAAATGTCATTTGATTCGCCTAGTCCATTCGACTGGCCTAGCCATTCGCTACGCCGATCATAATAAGTGTAATAATTTACGTATTTCAATTTCCTGTAATTTTATATTAATTCTAACGTTTGTGTAATTTTTTCAATTTTTCATTGCTTTCATTATTTCAGTCATTATTACGTTATTTTAACATGATAGTCACATAATTTTCTTTTCATCTGTAAATTTAAAGATCGTTATTATATTATCTTAATATTTTACAATGTTGCAATAAAATTTTTAAAATTATACGCATTTATATAAATCACTATTATATAAATATGTAGCTATTGTTCTTAGCAAAATTCGAATAGAAGAAAGTTTTCCGAAAAATAAATTACTTATGGAAAATCTTTTTGTTGTTAAAAATTTGAAGTTTTAAAAATTATTGTTCCAGTTATTTATTTGCACAAAATAAATTGAGCCTCATAAATATATAAATTGAGCTTTTCTATAAATTTAGATATGCACTGAAACTTCTAAAACAAATTTTAAAAAGTTTTTTCACACATATTTATAATACTGCAGATTCTGAATGTTTTACTTTTGCAGATGTAACATACATACCAGAGTAATTCTTAATATTTAATAGATTCTTTTGGCTCTTTTGTGCAATATTAATTTGCTTGGTACTTTGATGCTTGGCCTAAGCAAATCGTTTGATTATTATAAGAATATTATGCTTCTATTTCAATTTATATCTTCAGTAGTTATAAAAAAAAACTTAAAAATTTCTTTAGAACTTTAAGCACAACAGTCATCTTTGAACATGCTATTTTTCAGTTTTGTGTTCATCAAACGTGCTTTATGTTAAGGTCTAAGCTAGAACTGATCAAAAATACCCTTTTACAAGATTTGAATGTAAATTATTTTTAAAGTTAAAGTTAAAAGAAATGTGTAAATGAAAGAGAAATAACATTCATGTTTTTCTTTATCAACGAAAAACAGTTTTTTTTTTATGAGAGGAAGCGCAGATTTTATCAACAAAGAAATCGAGTAATTATAAAATTACAGCAACTTGCAATATTTTTGCTCTAAAGAATAAAGTATGAATGAATTTAAAATTGAACGAAAATCTTAAATTTACAGATTTTTTGCTTGCTTGTGTTGATTCTCATTATGTAAAGCAAAAAATATTTATTAAATAACGCTCTCATTTTCATCAATTTTGAACATTAACCGAAATATTTTTTCTTTTCTCTTTTTCTATATTACAAACATAAAATATATTTTATTCCTTTATAAATTTAATTTTTTTTATGAAAAATTTATTTACGAAAAAGTTTGTTTTTAAAACATTTTCTTTTAAATTACAAAAAAAAAAAAAAACAAAAACACAATTGAAAATATTGGTACAGATTGTATTGGCGGCAGCGGTGAATTTCCAAAAAGAGCTATTGATTCCAGTAATAGTCGTAGTAGCGATCAAATTGATGGCGGTGGTGGTTCTAGTATTGGTGAAACCGGTGGCGGTCAATCAACTACAGGTAACGTAGATGCAACTGATGAAATAATGAGTTCAAGTAGTATAAGCTCAGCTAGTCGAGTATCATTTGACCCACCGTCTTCTTCACCTCCAGTTAATGGTGAGAATTTTTTGCATTTTCCAGAAGATTCTAGTGGCTCATTATAAGTAAGAACTTAAAATGAATATTTATATATAGTTTATAATATAGATAAAACTTACTATGACTATTTTATATAATATAAATTTAATAATATGCTATTTTTAAAAAAGAAAACAAAAAAAAAGTTAAAACAGAATGAATAGAAAATCTTCTCTTCCTGGAAAGAAGTAAATTATTATTATTGGCTATATATTTAAAGTTGATGGTAGTTAGAAATTTGTTTAAGATGAAATATGTGAATAGTTTAATCAAGGTTTTTTCATTTTTATACTTAAAAATCAAAAAAAGAAAAACAAATAGTGCAGTAATGTTAATATAATAAGAAAAAACCATAAACAAAGAAACAAAAATATAATTTATATAAATTTAGGTAATTTTCACATTTGTAGTATAATAATTAGAAAGAACTTCAGTTGTCAAAAATCAAACAATCACAAAATTTATAACAGCTGTTTCATAAAATGCAGGATGTTCTCTAAAGCAGTACATTGATATAATTATTGCACCAAATGAACTACCAATAAAACAATCAAAAAGCAATTATTCTGTAAAAAGACGCGGTACGACTTGGTATATCGATAGATAGTTTT